GGGGGGGGGGGGCGGGGAAACAAAGCAAAGGGAAAGAATAAGAGAAAAGCCATGAAGGCTTAAATGCTGTGCTTAACTACAGCAATAGTATTGGATAGGAGACAGGAAATTTTAAAAGGTCATTTTCATGGGAACGGGTTGAGTAATATGTGATCAAAGATAAAAGAAAAGGTAAAGTATAAAATATGAAGTCAATGTGATTGCCAATACTGTTGTAAGCTTCCAGGGTATATGAAAATCTAATGAGGAAGCCTTCAATAGTGTATGCATAGAAAACTGCACAAAGTTATACAAGAAATACTTAAAAAAGTTTGAGTGTGCACTCCACAAAACTTTAAATAAGGAAGTAAGATGGTCTCCTAGGAGAGGATGAGAACAATCTATCACCTGGTGAAAGAGACATTGCTTAAAACATAAATGAACTGTTTCACTACTCACAAAGGAGGTGGAGAGCTGGAAGAATGTAAGGTATATATTTTGTAAGGGAGAAAGAAAATACAGACTTCTGTCAGAACAGGGATCAAGAAATTAGTACATCTGAAGACTGACAAGACTCCAGGGGCAGTTGTACGTGATCCATCCCAGGTTTCGGAAAGACATGACAAAGTAAATATGGGAACCTATAGTGGACATATTCAAAACTTCTCTGGAAAAGTAGAGCTATAAGAGACTTGAGAGAAGCTAACACAGTTCTGATATTTGAGAAGGGATTGAGGAGACATCTATGAAAAACACAGACATGCAGTCGTGACTTTGGCAGTGGGGAACTTATGGGAAAAACTAAATTACAGGACAGAAAGGGGAACACCTGGAAAGTTACGATTTAATTAAGGACAGTCAGCACGGATTCACACAAAACGAATCATGCCTAACAAATCAGATTTATTGAGGAAGTAACAGAAAGACCAGGCAAAGGTTAAGCCATGGACATAAGGAAAGCTTTTGATACAGTACTGCAAAAAAAGGCTAAGCCTGCAAGGTAAAAAAGAATAAGATAAAGAGTGAACTACAGAGTAGATGGAGCACTGAATGATGAGTGTAACTGAGAGGATTGTGTGTGTAACAGCTGATAGACACAGAAAGCATGCTTCTGCAACATTTCTGAAATACATTTCAGATGTCTGAAATTAAGTGTTCGAGTCAATCTGTGCTCTAAGCAGAGTTCAAAGAATCAAATTTTGTTTACTTCTCTGATACTTTTTGATTTTGCATGCTAAGGAAAATAGCTCACCTTACTTCCACTGATGAAAGAGGGATCTTGTGCAGAGTAGTTAAACTCATTCCTTCATTTCTGAGTTTCAGCAGTTGTGTGAGTCAGCCCTTAAGAGATACTCTATTCCCTTCCTTAGCACTAAATTGCTATCCAGCAAAAACACACAATGGGATGCATGGAGAATGTAAAGGTGATGAGCTTTACCAAAGATTTTAAGAGTCTGATTTTGTGGTATATGCATAAGTAAGGAAGAATCAATACAAAACAGTTATAAAATTCCGAATTAAGTAAAAGGGCTATTGTCCTTCCCTTCCTGAAAGCACTGAGATGGCCACTCTAATGACTACTTAAACAGTTTCCACGTACAGTAGTTGGATGTAGCAATGTCTTTTTACAGAGTTTTAAAACACATCACTTACCACATCATCTCTGTCTTCCCACTCGACCTCGGAAAGATCCACGCTACTGTAGTTGGGCTTTCTTCGTTTTTTCCCCTCTTCATACTGGCATAAAAAAAGGTGACATATTTAGCACATCCTGCTTTATTTGCACAAACATCTAGTGTCACAAGATTTGAAAAATCTGCTGACTGTATGCAATACACATAACAGCAGGTAGCTTAATTCCTACAAAGCACACCACATTGCTGCATAAATGTCAGCTGTGAACTAAAAATCTACATTACTTGTGATTATTTGCATGATCTCTTGCCATGATACAAAACTTTTCTTGATTAACACACTTCAAAGTAAAATTCTGCATTTGTACCTTCTTGTCCCTATATGGAAAATACGTGAGACCTTGATCTTGTAGTTTATGTTAAATATCTCAAACTAGCTTTTTCAGCTGCACAGGAAGTTAAATTTGCTATAATCTTATCAACAAAATGTTTACCCATTTCTCTTTAAACAAGATAAATGCAAGTCTTGTGAAGTATGATGTTAACACTTGCTGATACTACATTTTATCTACAACTTCATGGGGGAAAAAGTAATATAATAATGGTAATTTATAGGTTTTTATCACTTGTCACTGCTACACTGTAAATCGCACATTTAAAATAAATATTCTTTTGACAAATTGGGTTGACACTGATGTGTTTATAATGTAGGAAATTCTGCCCTCTGCTGAATATTTAAAATCAAAGACCCTACTAGTGTAAGAACAAAATGTTGCTCGGCAGGAGAAGAAAAGTGTATTCAGGAAGATCTGTGAATAAAGAACCCAACTGGCTAAGAAAAATGATCATAATATATTTGAAAAAAATAAATCTGAGAGAGGATTGGCATAATGGGAAATCTGGTCTTTTCTCTTTTACGATGCATATAAGTGGGAGGAAAAACCACAAGTCTTCCTATGAAGCATGACAAGAGACACTGGGATACTGCGAAAAATCCTCAAATTGCTTTTCTGACTCCCAAACCATACCATCACAGTAGGATAGACAATGCACCTGTAAGGCAGTATATATAGTTGATTCTCCTCCCTCAGGGCAGAACCAACTATACCATAAACCAAATCTGTCAGTGCTTGAGACAGCCAATTCATCACTGAAGCCAGTGGTGCAGGAACTTTCAATCACATTCAGCAGATTACAGAGAGGCCAAAGAAAAAACTTGCTCTCTGAGCATTAAGAAGGTTATTCCCATCCTGACTTTTTCCTCTCTAAATTTAAAAAATCTCATGGGAATCCCATAGTTGCTTTTGTAGACCACAGTATTTAAAAATAGGTATGACAAAATCTTCCTGAAGAAGAGCAAACTTTAAAAAAATATTGAATACTGGACCATAATCAAAAAGAGTTTTTGAGATATTGGTAGCACTGTAATGTTTCTGCCAGCACACTTCACTGATCCTCCTTAATTTTTGCTCTAAATAACGTGGATACTTTTCTACAGATTATTCTTTGTAAGTGCTGGTTTGGTTTGGTGGATTTTTTGGTAATGGGGGAGGAGCCCACTTTGTTGTCGTGTTAGACACAAGCCACAACAGTGTGGGATAACATCCTCAATCAATTCTCATTCTTCTTTTGAATAAAAAAAATCCGAACAACTCTGTTGGTGTGAGTCTTGACTGAATTCTGAGAATTCATGCAGAGGCAATTAAAGAGTACTTTCATGTGCTAGAATACACCATTTTTTAACAACAAGGTTATCTACTTCAGGGTTAATGCTATTCAACAGATGGGTGGAAAGATGTAAAGAATTTCTGCTTTCAGCACATACTTATACACTAGACTGTGAATTCAAGCAGCTCAGTGCTACAATTAATTCTTGCTATGTGACAGCCCTCATAGCCAAAGAGATAACTACATCCAAACACTGAAGTACATTTCACAAGCATAAAATATGACAGGATAATGTCCAGTTCATTAACAGGGCTTGATTTTTGTAGCTATGTTTTTGCAAGTCTTTCATTATGGCTGCAGCTCTATCAATATTATCCTTAAATTTTACAAGAAGTAACCATATCTGCTCTCTGTGGCTGCACCGATTAACCACACAAATCTTCAACCTGATTTAGTCATTATTCTATAGAAATTGTTTCAGTCAAGCTCTGAAATACTGAGAACTGAAAGGTGTTAAATCAAAGTTAGCTGGGATCATATGAATAGAGCAAACAGCTCCTGTACTGGTTCCAATGTTTAATTACATCCTTACAGATGTTGAAGAGCTTCTGGGCTATACTGCATTCTCAGACACATGTGCAAACCCTTACTTATGACAATAGGAATTGATCTGGTGTCTGACAGCAGAAGTTGGCTTCAAACCTAAGGCAAACCACTGGCGTCATATTGATTATTTGGTTTGTATTTATTTTGATCATGTAGATTCCACACCTTGCACTCAAAAAGCAAAAACAAAATCCAAAAGCAATCAAATGAAGAGCTGGATAAAACATCCCAAACTCTGCAGCAAAGCCGGAATTAGAAGCATCCATGTCTAAAAAATTCAGATAAGCAAAAAAACAGCCCAAATCCCAGTGATCAAGCAAGAGTTAGGCACTCTGTAAGCACTTGAAGGAACTGGAAATGCAATTCTTCAGCATATTTAGGACAGGAAATAATGAAATATTGAGATTCCTGACCCCTCATTCAGCTCTATATAGGGGCTACATTTTAATTGCCTACACAGTAATTAAATAAGTGAAGAGTAGATCTATGTTATAGTTCAGAAAAGGATGGCAGATAAAACAAAAACTAACTTAAAGCAAAAACAGGATACCAAAAATTATTTGTCTGTCAGATATTACCTTATTCACAACAGTAAATATACATATATTTATGATTATGTAACTAGGGCCTAAAACATAAACGCAAGTAGATACAATATAAAATACTTAATACTGTTCAATTGGTCATTCTTCTCTAGCTTATTTCCAGTTTTATTGCTTAACTAATTTCTTAGTAAAAGCTATTCATGCGCATCAAAGTAACTCACCAGGTTTTAAAAATGGCATTAATCTATATCTTTTTCTATGGTAGCAAACAATCTTTTATCTCTGAGACTCCTGAATTAAGTATAAAACACTGAGTCAAGGCTGAAGCCAAACCCTTCTGCAATATTACTATAAAGCATAGAAACAAATTATTAAGGCACCCACCGGGAAAGATAGAAACTAGGAGCTCTTCCAAATGACTCTGATTTAAGTAGATGAGGAAAAGAGTTAGATTTAAACTGTGTGCTGTTAATCTACTTTGGCCAGCATAACATGAGTGGTGATACTATATAGTAGTTAACCTCTGGGAAAAAAACAACCAAAAACTGAACATTTTTAAATATCTGGACTACAACACAAGAATCTTTTAGGCTGCTAAAAACTACATATTTTTGTTTGTGGAAAGAGCACAGGAAATTATTTTTTTGGGGAATAAGAATGAGCTTTATCTTACAGAGTATCTTTTATTTGAGGCTTGGCCAAACTCCTATAGCAAGGGATGATTCAAACAGCATGTGATATGTAACATTTAAAGACTGAATCACATTTTCCCACCACCCCCACTACAACCATTTACATGTGCCATTATTAAACCCTTTTCTTTGATATTTTCTTCCTTTTTTTTTTTTTTTTTTTTTTTTTTTTTTAACACAAGCAGTCCCAAACCATCTGCATTGAATATGACCTGCCACGTGTTTACAAAGTCAAAGTGTAGCAATCTGATCAGGGACAGAGAAAGCTACATCTTAACAGCTGCCAGCCTTGGGTCTAAGGTGATTGGAATTTCTGAGTCCTGCTCCATCTAGATAATGTAGACGTAGGAGAGAGTAAGTTGCTGTGATAGCAGCTTTGGAAGTATCAACAGATTTTAGTGCGCTTGACTAGTCACATTTGTGGAACCAACTGTGAGAAAATATTATAAAAGGAAAGTATCAAAAATGACCAAAAGCTAAAGAGGTAAAATAATTTCAAGAGAAAGTGCTTCCTTGCCAAATTACTACCCTATGTACAGAAGTAGGGAACCAGAAACTGAAAAAACCTCTCCAATTTCAAAACATAGCAACAATTAATTAGGTTTCATCTTTTTGGATTACTGCTTCAAAATTAGGATAATGCACTACTCTAAACAGGATTTGAGAATGATCCAAAATTTTTTATTTTTTTTATTATAAGACTTGAACATATGCAAGGATCTTTAGCTGACCTTCAATTCTACATAATTAAATACACAAAGCAACAGCATTTATAACTGTAACTTACATTAAACCCTCCCTCAAAGGCGTTCTTGTCCTCAAAGTTTGATAGGAACAGTTGAATGAACAAATATCAAAGGAAAAGCATCATTAACTATGATGCACACTCTTCCATATAGTTTTAAATAAATAGACTGAATACACTGTCATTATTGCAATTTCCTGGTCTAGTCAGCTCCTCAGGTACTTCACTTCCCTAAGATTCCAGACACTAATGTTACCACTTATTTATTGCCTAGTGTATTGCTGAGTAACGTAAGACAAACCTTGCAGCTGTAGGAATGGAAACTGTATTGAACCTATGGGGTTCAATGGCTGATCCTGAGACCTTATCCAGCCTAGCATAAATTGCTACTGAGGCACACTAATCCTTCCTCAGGTGACTGTGCAAGGAGAAAGTTTGGTTAACACCAACTTCAGGAGCAGGATCCTCTGTCACCAGTCCTTCAAACATGCATTCTTTGTTCTTTGTTCTTTGCATAGAATAAGGCAGGAGTATATTGCTGCTTCCTTTCCTGGCTGTAAGTGGGGTACATCCCTCAGTGAGGCACTTCCCCAAAAAGAGCCATGACACTCTTAGAGGTAAATATGCAGAAAGGAAGAGGAAGGGGGCATGTACTTCCTACTTTTCAGTAATGATTGTAGTTACTCCAAATTGCAAATTCTTTTAAATATGGATCAAGTCATTCAACATTTAGTCTAAAATCTTTAGAGGTTAAATACTATGGGACAAAGACAAGGTAATGAAAAACACAGTGAAAGGTCATGAGATGACGGGGGGAGAGATCACTTCAATAGACTGGTTCATACTT